AATTAATTATTTATGGGTTTTCTGAGAAAACTGGGACCTCAGTATGTACTAAATAAGAGTACTTGTTTAAAGTGCCTGTGATAACACAAAAGTGACAGTTCTTTCTAAATATAATTAGTTCATATATTAGTTCAAATACAGGGACTTGGTTTAATTCATTTGGTGTTTCATTTTTTTCAGCGATTTCCCTAAATTTTATTTCCACTATTTCCATTTGACTTATTTTTCCATTTTAATAATTATTAGTGTCAATGTTTAAACAGCTTGACAGAATAAGGGAGAGATTTTTGGAGTTTAAAATATACCTTAAAAGGTCTGATTAAAGAAAAAGCCCTTTCATTAAAAGAAGGTATTTTATTTGACAATACACTATTAAGTTGTAAGTTATTATTCTAAAATTGCTTTTTAATTATGGTGTTTTCTTATATTTGTATGTTAAGATACTGTATTTTACATGACTGAAAATATGCATGAGGTTTACATATTCTGAAAAGAAGCAACTTTCTGACTTAATTTAATCAGTATTAAACAGAATTTACATATGCATGTTTTAAAAATGAACAGCCGGCCAGGTGCGGTGGACTCACACCTGTAATCCCTGCACTTTAGGAGGCCGAGGCTGGTGGATCACAAGATCAGGAGATCGAGACAATCCTGGCTAACACGGTGAAACCCCGTCTCTACTAAAAATGCAAAAAATTAGCCGAGCATGGTAACACACACCTGTAGCCCCAGCTACTCAGGAGGCTGAGGCAGGAGAATTACTTGAATCTTGAAGGCAGAGGTTGCAGTGAGCTGAGATCATGCCACTGCACTCCAGCCTGGGTGAGAGAGAGAGAGACTCCATCTCAAAAGAAAAAAAAAAAAAGAAGGAGGAGAAGGAGAAGAAGAAACAGCCTTGGGAGCATAAATGATCCAGATACTATAAAATGAAGGAAAAAACCACTCAGCTCACAACGGAAATTAAAGCAATTAGAGACAAGCAGAAATAACTACATCTCATAATTTTTCCATCACCTGGACTCTAAAGACGGTGACGAAAGTCTGCCATCCTTCCTGGAAAGTTCCGGCCTATTTTTGCATGGACAGCAGCAGCATGCCAACTGGGCATCTTTGAGGTTTTGAATGGAGTTAATTTTTTTTTTTTCTATTTCTAGATGACTGCCACTACTACAGTACCGGTTTTCCTAGAGGAGCTAAAAATTGTAGATAATTGATAATAATGGAGTTTGTGAGCAAGTTAGAATGCTTGTGTATCATATTGAAAACTTGATTCTACTGTACCTCTGCTGTTGCTACCATTTTGCATGCATTCCTGATTTTCTGCTCACTGGGTTTAGATTCATGCCTCTCAAAACCTAATGTGTATTAGAATGACACAAGGCTCTTATTAAAACAGAGCTTTTGATTCAATAGGTCTGGGATGGAGCCTGAGAACTTGCATTTCTTTTTTAAAATTTTTTATATAAATATTTTAAAATAATTATTTTTTCTTTTTTTAAAAAAATTGAGACAGGTTTTTGCCGTGTTACCTAGGCTGATCTCCAACTCCTGGACTCAAGCAATCCTCCCACTTTGGCCTCTCAAAGTGCTAGGATTACAGGTGTGAGTCACTGGGCCTGGCCAAAATGTGTATTTCTAATTTCCTGGGTGATGCTGATGAGTTTGGTCTCAGGACTACTTTTGGAGATCCAGTGGTCTCAGTGAATTTCAAGAAAGTTATGTGATTCTGGCATAAGAAGATCAGTAACAAATTGAAATAGTTATTTTTTACATAGACATGTCTTTATAAGAGTGAATTATGATCTTTCCCAGATTTCCAAAACTGGACTTGAGAGTTTTCAAATGTTGGCAATAGTGAATTAAGGACACAGACAAGGTCCCAGACATCATGGCATAGCTGATCCACAGATGGCTGCAGGTGCATAAGAAAATCCAGCTGAAACCAGAACTGCCTGGCTCATCTCAGTGGAGTCCATCCAAAATTGCTGACCCCAAGAATCATACACTAAATAAATGGTTACTTTTTAGACCACTATGTTTGTAATATAATTACAGCGAACTGATACACTAGGTAACATTTACTGAGTGCTAATTTCATGGACTGTAGTCTTAGGTCAGGTTACTATAACTAAGTATCACAGATTGGGTGGCTTAAACATAAACATTTATTTTTCACAGTTCTGGAGACTGGGCGGTCCAAGATCAAGGTGCTGGTAGTCATGTCTAGTGATTGCCCACTTTCTGGTTCACAGACAGCAGACTTCTTGCTGTTTCCTTACATGGTGGAGAGATGAAGCAAGCTCCCTTAAGACTCATAAGGATACTAATCCACCCTTATGGCCTCAGGTATTCCTAATTACATCCCCCAAATCCCATCTCCAAATCCTATCACATTGGGGGATGGGGCTTCAACATACGAACTTTATGGGGGACCCAAGCATTCAGTCCAGAGTACCTGCACTCTGCTAAGCATCTCGGATACATTATCTCATGGAATCCTGTTAACAACCCATGACCATGGATGCTCTTATCATTCCCGTTTTATAGAAAAGAAAACAAGCCATTCTTTGCCTCCCTCTATAGCTAGAGTTTAACTCTGATTACCGAACTTCTCTCTGAAACCCCAATGCCCTATTGCTTCTGTCTAAATGTGCTTTTTGGTGAATCCGGAGAAACTTGCATGATTTTGAGGATTATTACTATAAGGATTGCTACTTTTGCTACTTGGCCTCTTTAAATGTAGCACAAGCTTTTTTTCCACTGAGAAGCTACAGTTGCTGGCAAATTTGCTACTCCCACCACATTCCTTTCCTGCTTCCAGCTGCCATTTTAATTGGAGTGAAATTTTCCTGTTGCTCTGTCTAGAACTCTCTATTTGAATTGCCAGCAGGTCGAGAGGGAACTGACTGGCAGTGGGCAAAACACTGTTTCATCTAATTAAAAAATTATGTAATATTAATTTATTTTAACAAGATGTTATTTTTTAAAATAAATGAAAACATATTTATAGCCATCCAAATCAAATACAGTTGTAGCTTAAGCTCACTAGTTTAGATAGTGTGGTTCTACTGAGTTACTGCCATCAGATAGAAATAGTGTTTCAAACTAACAAGTGTCAAAAATAAAATCAGATCGAGTTATAAAAATTTAAAAGTTTATTATCATACAGCAAGAGAAAGTACAACTCGGTATCAGGGAGATTTCAGTTCAGGCGGTAAGAAAGCTCAGAGGCATGAATTATAGGGTTGCTCATAAAGTGAAAATGAGGAAATTCTTCAACCTTTTCCATGACTGGTTATTACAATGGGGTTTCCAGGTGATAGGGGATTGGTTAAAACTGATTTACTGCTATACCACTTTAGAAAGACAATTTAAGTTTTGTTTGTGATTATCAGAGGCATTTACAAGAAACAACCTAAGTTTCAGTTACGTTCAAGAAATAAGCTCAGTTAAGGTTTGCTTGTGTGACCTAGCTGATTTTTTTCAGGTAGGAGGATTTTCAAGCCTGGTGTTCATCTTATTTTATGTTAACGGAAACTTAATTCCTTCAAGGTGGTTTCTTAAAAAGCCTGAACCACTTGGGAGAGTGATCCCAGCAAGGCCTCATCAGCGTATATTATTTATGTGACACTTTGCATACTAACATTGTTATGCATCTTTTTGTCCTCCAAAATAGTACCTTACTTCTTGACAGGTGAGAAATCTTACTGTGTTACATTATTAACCGAAGTTTATTTTCCCAGTGACTCAGATCCAAACAATTCAGGTTCTAACTTTGTATTTTTAAGGCTTCAGAAGTTTGAACAAAATTGTAACTGAAAGCTATTTTCCTATATTCAAATTGGCCAGAAGCCCTACTTACCAGCTTTATAAATCCAGAGGTATGGTTGTTGGTTAAGTAGTAAGTTGTATTGACATATTGTTTGTTTTGTCTCTTTTAGAAGGACTCACTTTTCTTCCCAAAAGATAAGAAAGGGCAACAGCATCCGACACTTAGATAGCACCTCCTAGATGTCCTAATTCTGTACTCTTAATCTTCCTGAATTCTTATAGTATAGGCACAATTACCACGCCCTTTTATAAAATGAGGAAACTGAGGCACAGAGAGGCTAGGAAATGTTCTCAAGTTTACATAATTGGTTATCGTTGTACACAAGTTCAAAGTTGGGCAGTCTGGCTCCAGAGCCCGTATTCTCAATTTCAACAGCATTCTGCTTCTAACACCTTATTTGGACAGGTTTGTTGGGTTAAAACAGGGGTGTCCAGACTTTGGGCTTCCCTGGACCACATTGGAAGAAGAGTTGTCTTGGACCACACTTAAAATACACTTACATTAATGATAGCTGATGAGCTTAAAAAAAAAATCACAAAAAAACGAATGCTTTCAAAAACCTTATGAATTTGTGTTGGACTCTGTTCAAAGCTGTCCTGGGCTGCATGCAGCCTGAGGGCTGTGGGTTGGACAATCTTGGTTAAAACTTACTCTACGAGCAACCATCACTTATCTGGAACATTGGCTGTGATACCATTACATAGAAAAGAGTGGATATTAAGGCTGGGCGCGGTGGCTCATGCCTGTAATTCCAGCACTTTGGGAGGAAGAGGCGGGCGGATCACGAGGTTAGGAGACTGGGACCATCCTGGCTAACGCAGTGAAACCCCATCTCTACTAAAAATACAAAAAATTAGCTGGGCACGGTGGCGGGCGCCTGTAGTCCCAGCATCTAGGGAGGCTGAGGCAGGAGAATGGCGTGAACCCGGGAGGTGGAGCTTGCAGTGAGCAGAGATCACGCTACTGCACTCCAGCCTGGGCAACAGACTAAGACTCCGTCTCAAAAAAAAAAAAAAAAAAAAAAAGAGTGGATATTTTAAGCTATTGAAATAAGTGTAAGATTTCCTTAAGCAACATATGTTTTGTATTTCAATTTAGTTTTGTCTTTTTGTTGAGAGAAGTCTCAGCGACTTCACCTTCAGTCCTTTCTGTCCCTTTCTCTCACCGTGACTGTAGGGGCTTCACTCACCACAGTTGTCCTCATCGGCCTGATTCCCACAGTCGTCCACACCGTTACAGTGCAGGAGCTGAGGCAAGCACTTTGTGATGTTCCCACAGGGGAAGTAGCCAAGGGAGCACTTGACATCCTGTCCACCCCCATGAGAAACTGGGGAAAAGGGGAGAAGACACAAAGTTGGAAGGTTAATGCAAAGGCATGGCAAAGAGTAGCTTCTCCCTGATATTTTATCATCATTTGTCTTTCTCATCATGGTTTATACAACCCTGATGCCGGTTACTTTCCAGGAACCTTCACCTCTTAGGATGTTCTTTCCATGATTCCAGAAGATGCCAACATTTTTCTCTTTGCCTTTGTTCATGCTGTTTCCCACCCGAATGTCCTCTCCATTCCTCTCTTTTATGAAACGTCTGCTCATACTTCACAGTTCAATCCAATTACCCTCTTCTACAAACGATTTTCAGCCAATAATTTTCAAAACAGAAATTTGTTGTATTCTTACTATGGGCTCAGAATCAAGGCTGGTCTGGTATTGAAACGACCTCATTGTCTGGGGAAAACCTGTGGTTCATTGTCTCACCCCGAGATGATTAAGGATGTGGACACACACGTGGAGTAGGTTAAGGAGAGGAACGTTTAATAGACAAAAAGGAAGAGAGAGAGAGAAAGCTTCCTCATGATGAGAAAGCGAGTGGCCCAAGAGAGGGTTTCCGGGCTTTGGGGCAGAACATGATTGATTTTGTACCGAGGCTTGAGGAGGCGGTGATTGATTTACATAAAGCCCAGGGGACTGGTTTCACCAGGTGTGTCATTTACATAGCCTGCGAAAAGACTGAAAAGACTGGCCCTTGCACCCTAATCTTTTATTATGCAAATGTGGCTTCTACTTGGCTGTTGCCAAGACACCTGCACACGTGGCTTTACCTGGCCAGTGCTGTGATACCTACGCACATGGTGATAAGGAAAAGGGAGCAGGAATCGCCAATTGAATGTATCTGGCTTCCAGGTACAGCTGCTGACATTTACATATGAAAGCTTCCAGCTTGCGTATCTGTGCTTGCAGCTTGACTTTTCAGGCTGCTTTCTGTTAGAAAAGAAATGGTTTGGAGCTGCTTTTCATTAAAGGAAAATTCCACCGAGGACTCTTTTACCCTTTCTTTTCTTTCCTTTCTTTTTTTTTTGAGACAGAGTTTCTCTTGTTGCCCAGGATGGAGTGCCATGGCACAATCTTGGCTCACTGCAACCTCCGTCTCCCGGGTTCAAGCGATTCTTCTGCCTCAGCCTCCTGAGTAGCTGGGATTACAGGCATGCACCACCACGCCTGGCTAATTTTGTATTTTTAGTAGAGACGGGGTTTCACCATGTTGATCAGGCTGGTCTCGAACTCCTGACCTCAGGTGATCCGCCCATCTCGGCGTCCCAAAGTGCTGGGATTACAGATGTGAGCCTCTGTACCCGGCCTCTTTTACCCTTTCTAACTGCCTAAAATAATTTCTTAATAACTCCTGTATTAGTATTAGAGAAAGAAGTCATAGAGGATAACAGGAAAGCAGGTGCCATGTGATCATTTCCATATTGGATAGTTGTTAAGTGTAAGGCCCTGTACAAGATTTTATGAATGCATCATTGAATGAAACAGAGTTCCTGCCCTAGGGGAGGTTACCATCTCCCAGGGAGGATACACTGAATAAGTTAATAAATAATTACAATTCATGGAGAGGTCCAAAAAGAAAGAAAACAGGTGACGTAATGGAAAATAACTATGTGCTGGTGCTTTGTACAAGGGGTAGTTAGAGGGAGGCCTCTGTAAAATGGTGCCATGTAAGCTGAGATCTGGAGGAAGAAAAGGAAATCACCCATGAGAGTAGGGGAGGTAGTAGTGGGAAAGTGGTGGTGGTAGTTAAAAGTGGTGAGGAAGAGGCTTCAGGCTGAGGATTAGGGAACTCTGGGAAGGCTGTGGTGATGGAGCCCAGCGAGCAGGGGACAAGTGACATGAGCTGAGGTTGATGAGGTAGAGAAGTATCCTTGGGCAAAGGGAAGAAGTTTGGGTTTTATTTAAAATGCAAAGGGGAATCAAGGAAGGATTTGAAGCCAAGGGGCCACTTAGTAAACAGGTATGTTTTGTTTACATAATTCTGGCTACTGGGGTAGAGTGCCATTGGGTAGGAGACTTGAGGGGAGGGTAAGAGGGAAAGCTGGGCTGCTGATTAGGAAACTTTGCAGTGCTCCAGGTAACAGACAAATGAGGCTTAGTCTAGAATGGTGCCAGTGGAGAGGAGAGAAGTGAACATATTTTACATGTAATTTAGGGGTAGAATGGAAATGGACAGAATCTTCTGAACTGGCTTGACCAGCTGGAAGCATGGCAGTGCCACTACTGAGACTCTCTGGGGGAACCGTAGGGTGCAAGAATAAAGATAGCTCATTTGCCTTTATTTCCATCCTTACCCAAGAGCTTCACCATGTGAGTTTTCTAACTCAGCTCAACACTTTCTCACTCACTTCAACACTTTAAAACCCCTTCTTCAATCCAGAAGTCCCATTCTGGTTTTTTATACCTTCCCCGATTCCTGGAACTCCTCCTCCATCACTACCATTCCCTCTCATCACCATCACTTCCTCCTGAAATTTGTGCTCCAGCCTTGTTGGAATTCCTGACTCAGACTTTGTTGGCTTGAATTGAGGTGAGATTCTAATCCTATTAGATAAATATTCTTTTACTTCATTTTTTGAAGAAAAATTAGTCATTATTTGCAATTGTGTTTCTAGGAAAGAATGTGTTTGAGTGCCCAAGCTAATTTAAAGGTTAAAGTTTTGAAATATTATCTGCTTTGCTATATTTATACCCCTACAAATAAACATTTAATAGAATGAAGAGGACTATAAGAACTTCAAAACTATCAATACTTCAAAAAGCAGTCCACTTTAACTTCTTTGCACCAGACACACTCATCTACACTAACAATCAATTAATTAAATTTCATCACATATTGGTTGTCCAATTGTTTCAAGTGTTTTAATCTTATCCCCCCCCCACCCACACACACTCAAAAGAACACTCATTGTAAACAAAGCCCATGTCATTGTTTGTATCTCTGGTTAGGGATGCTGAAAATTGTTGAATAGTAAAATTAGAGGAGACAAACTTAAGAAGTAAAAATTGTTCCATAAACAATTGAAAGGTATGAATGTTTGATAACATTTTACATAACCATCCTATTCCGACTTTGAAGGGCAACCATGCCACTTTAAAAAGTAGACTTTATTTTTTATAGCTATTAGGTTCACAGCAAAATAGAGTAAAAGGTACAGAGAGTGCCCATGTATTCCCTGCCTCGTGCACCTCCACCATCAACACCCTCCCCAGTCCAGAGTGGTGCATTTGTTGCAGTTGATGAACCTACATTGACACATCATTGTCACCCAAAGTCCATAGTTTACATTGGAGTTCACTCTTGATGTTGTACATTCTATGGGTTTGGACAAATGTATAATGACACGTATCCACCATTATAGTATCATACAGAGTAGTTTCATTGCTCTAAACGTCCTCTGGTAACCACTGAACTTTTTACTATCTCCATAGTTCTTCTTTTTCCAGAATGGTATGTCATTGGAATCATGCAGTATGTAGCCTCTTCAAACTGGCTTCTCACACTTAGTAACATATATTCATCCACTCACTTACTGAAAGACATCTTGGTTGCTTCTAAGTTTTGGCAATTATAAATAAGCTGCTATAAACATCTGTGTGCAGGTTTTTGTGTCGGCCACATATTAACTATAACACTTTAAAATCTGAGATTTATATAATTTCAAAGATTTCTGTAGACTCCCAGTACAGTTATGTTCTTATTATCCTTACCAAGTTTGTAAATCTTTGGAACTTTCTAGAATGCTCATAATTATGAAGAAATAAGAATAGAATAGTTTGAATAATCATTAAGAGCTTATTATGTAAAAATGTATTGGGGGTCAATGATCAAAGCATGAAAAAAATAAAAGTGACTACTTATTTTGTGAAGTATGGTGAGGCTTAATAACAGGGCAATTAACATTCTCATAGAGAAGCAATCCATCTATGACAGGCTTTGACTGTATGTAGTCATTTCAGAGCACATAGTTTGATGAAGCACATAGTCAAATCTATATAATAATGAGTTGTGCTATAAATAATGTTCTCACTTGTGAAATTATTCAAAATTAATCTTTTTTCAACCAATTGTTTAAAACAAAGTCAAAAAAAGGGATTTGCATGCCAAAGGCCATTACTGGTAGAACATCACATATTTCAGAGATCTCAAGCATACATATAAATAAACCAATCTGTGTTGGGACTAACTTTTTATATCTTTATTAATTTTTAAAGAACAATTTAAACACCAAGATTTTAAGAAGAATTCTTTGATGAATTGTCAGATACTTTGAAGATGTGTTAAGTGGCCATACCTGCTTGTGTTTTCATGAAGCTCTTTTGAATATTCTTCTCCACATAACTTCTTTTCTGAATATTATCCTTTTATGTCCTGTCTTTAAAATTTATATTTAGTGGTAGATATAGCTCCTCAATGATTGTATCATGAAATTAGTTCTACATTTTCATAACATTATGATTCAACAGCTATATCAGGAATCTTAAATATTTTTAAGTGATATTTTAAAAGTAACTTTTGGGCCAGGTGTGGTGGCTTATGCCTGTAAGCCCAGCACTGTGCGAGGTCGAGGCGGGCAGATATCTGAGGTCAGGAGTTGGAGACCAGCCTGGCCAACGTGGTGAAACCCCGTCTCTACTAAAAATGCAAAAAGTTAGCCAGGTTGGTGGCGGGCGCCTGTAATCCCAGCTACTCGGGAGGCTGAGGCAGGAGAATCACTTGAACCCAGAAGGTGGAGGTTGTAGTGAGCCGAGATTGCACCACTGCACTCCAGCCTTGGCAACAAGAGTGAAACTGTCTCAAAAAAAAAAAAAAAAACTTTAAAATGTTGAGATAATCTCAAACTGAGAAGTTGCAAGTATCGGATAAAGAACATTTCCCCACCACCCCACCATTTGAGAGTAAGTTTTTGACCTGATGCTCCGGCACCCTTAAATACTTTAGTGTTTCCTACAAACAAGAACATTTTCCTATGTAAATAGAACCATTAAAATCAGG